TCAAATTAAGGGTAAATACACTTAATTTAAGAAATTTTTACTTATTTCTAGATCATTTTTGCAGTATGCAATAACTCCTGAGTAAAACAATTACAAATTAGTTACTTTTTCAAGTAACTACAGTCAAAATAAATAAAAAATCTAACTGTATCTTAGTGCAGTTTCATTACTTTAAAATCTTGATTGGTCTAATAAAGTAAAAGAAAAAAGAAAGCGCACAGAAACTAGCGAGTTTAAAATAAATATTACATTATGGTATAGATTTGTATAATTTCTTAAGTCTTTAGAAACAAAAACTATTATGGAAACGCAAATATAGTGCAAGTCAAGATGTAATCTGAGCAATCTATGATATGATCAGGAAAATAGGCCGTCTGCTGTGTTGCATTACATTGCTCCCAGTTGCTGATGAAATTTATGGTTAAGCTCAAATACGGCTCTGACGTGCGGCTGGACCGGAGGTCGCTTGTGGTGGCAAAGAACTGCACATTTTTAATATTTTGTGAAACTTTCTCTCTGCATTCAGCATACATAAGTGGAATAGCGGTGTTGAAAAATACGGTCTCTTAATAATGACGGATTGTCAGAGGTGTAGATCGTAACGTGGTCTTAAATCGTTATATCGCCCCTAATTCAACCCGCAAAAAATAAGAGAATTGAGTCATATCTTTGTTATCCTTACCAAAGTCAACGAACGAGGACTGGCCGATGGTCTTTGCAGCTGGTTTAGACACAACCTCCTGCTTAGTGAAGGCACCATCCTGGTGGGAGAGGAGAAGAAAGCATAGAGTCATTATTCCAGTTATGAAAGGCTAATATTAGAACTCCTAGACTCTGTACAAGAGCTTGTTTAAGGCTAATAAATTGTCAGCTATCACTTCAATTTTGTTTTACAGTCACAGACCCAGAAGGCCAATATAAGACAAACAGGAGGTGTAGTTAAAACCATAGTGGAGTAATATTTTTTCTCCAAAAACCAAAGGCTAATGGAAATTTAAAGGAAATACTCTGCATAAAGCATGGGCTGCTTTTATGCATAGATCTATTAAAAATGTGCTTAAACGCTTCAGCCAGAAACTGCCTTCTTTTCATTTCTCCAAAAATATAACCTGAAGTGGTGCGGTGGTGGTGCAGGGTTCAACCCAACAAATGTTGGGGAATTTCAGCTGTGATGTCAGCACAGACCCTCAAAATAACTACTTTTATTTTTCTAGTTTGTAGCGTATTTAAAAACAAAGTTTAGTGAACCTTATCAGAGCTGAAAACTTGCTAATGACTGTGGTCCCAAACATTTTATGCAGTCTTGATACCACTGTGTGGAAGCTTCTTTTACATTAAAAAAGGTGTAAATCTTGTTAATGGAAACCATTTTTAGACAGATGGTTTGATAAAAGGGTTAAGGAAGCCATCTTTGTTAACCTGGAAAAAACAATTTTCAAAAGAAGAGTAGGTCTTAGACATAACGTGTCACCTACTGACAAAGAACTTTTAGGAACAAAACCCAGAAGATTCCCCTCTCAGCTGCCTACAATTGACTCACACTTCATTGAGGGATGGGATTGAAACCACTCTGAGCAGGAGGTTAACGACCCATCAGAACCCTCTAAGGACCATTAACCCCCCCCATGTGACCTCCATGGCACATCCAGCAGGGGGAACCAGAGCCACCTTTTGTGTTCCCCTAATTCTTTGTTCCACCTACAGTATATGAATCTCAGTGCTCCCCATCAGTTAGAACAGAGGAAGCCTCTTGGATGAGAGGAGAAACATCTTCTAGAAAACTACACGTCCAGTTATCTAAACTGAACTTTTCAAGCTCGTCAATGATCTAGATGTCTGTGGATCTTCACAGAAAAACCCACTCTCTTTGAAAAGCAGCTGGTGAGCAAAATAGTTAAAGTCAGGCCATGCCTGCATGAAGGACTTAAGGCCTGGTTATCGTTGTTAGGTTAAAAAATGTAGGTTCGTAAAAGAGAAACTGAGTCCACACAGGAAAGAGATTCAAACAGCTCCTGCAGGAGTGGAAAGAACCCAACACAACTTTCAACTCTTTCCCCGACCCCCCTCCTGCAGTCGTCTATTATTAACAGAACATAACACATGGTTACAAAACAGTATTGTTCCGACAGAACAATTGATCAGGTCATAAAGACAGGATGCTCTACTGACTGAATCACAAGGCAGAGTGGACTCCTGATTGAATTATAAGACAGAGTGAAGCATCTGATTTCTCCAATGTTCTATATGCATATACATTAATTTTATAATCATCATTGAATAAACCTAACAATCGTCCCGCATCAGTGTTTCGCAGTGAGCTTGTCATAGATATTTTTTATTTATACCCAATATTGAAGCGTGGTCTGCGCTATGTTATTCCACACCACAAAGCAAGAGGGATAATCAGGAACCAGCTGTGGGTCTAGATACGGCCGAGGAGGTGAGGAAGTGGGGGCAAGTTTGTGTGAAAACGGAGGGACATGAGGGCCAAAAAGAGCGGGGATCCAGGTGGAAAAAGGGTCCCAGCGTTCTCACAAACCTCGCTCTTCTAGCGGGTCCATCTTCATGAGTCGTTTTCCACAATGGTGGTCATAAAAACAAAACAAGCCGGTAAGGAAACAAACAAGAAATACGCATAGAGGAGAGCGGATGTAGATTTGACCAATCAGAGGCCTCCTGTCTGCGGTCACCTACAGTTTTGGAGAGGTGCACCAGAGTGTCTGCGGAAGCTTCGATTCCAAAGCGGTTTAGCTTTACCCATTTGCTTGCACAGACCTTTTAAAGGCCCGGCCAGAAAGAAGGAAAGGGCATGTATAGCGCGTCCTAAACCACCCTAGCATCATGTTTTTCAACAAATGGGCCACAAGGGGGCAGAATTCCCCCTGTGCATTCCACTGCCTTCCTCTATCAGCTTCTTAGCTTTCAGCCTACTTTAAAATAAATAAAAATAAAGGCCCCTACTGCCTATTATAATAATAATCGCTAAAAAAATAACATGACTTATTCATTAAAGATAATAAAAAGTGAATTAAAAAGATCAACCTTTGATTAGTCTTTGAAAATTTACATATTACTTGACAGAGTAAACAGCTTTTACATGTCTAATACAGGTTTTAACAAATGTTGCTTTTCAAAAACATGTAATTCATATCATAAACCTGCTTAATACTTATATACCTTTAATGGTGTTTAATTTACAGTATAAAAGTAATGCATGAATAAATGTAACATCCTGTTTAAAATATAGATAGACCTGAAACAACTGTGTGTTTATGCAGATAATTAGAGGATATAGTGGCTGCTGATACCAACATTCAGTGAATCATGACAGAATCCACCAAACACACAAAGTAAGAGAGAAAGATGGTTTACTGAGAAAGACCTGCATATACTTTATGAATATATAGACATTATTAGAAGAGTGTGCATGTGCTACATCGTGAAATTTATAGACTGTGCTGAAAAAAACTGAACCGACCTATAAAATGTGACAGCATTCTCACTACTGCTGCAAAGTCTAAATGCTGCTTTCTACAGACATAAAATACACTATGAAAGTCAATAGTTTCTAACAGTTATCTTTATAAACGTGTATGAATTACCAGAAATAATATCCAAAAGTTATATTTCATGATATGAACGGGCAGAGCGGAGCCGATAAATCATGGTGTGTTTAACAACGCTGGACAGATTCTGGCAATAATGTTTAAGAACGCTGACACTGTAATGCAAAGCTCCATTCATGGTATTGATTTTCTGTGCAGAGGGAAATTCCACAATGCCACAAGGACTAAATTGCAAACAATGGCAATTTAGAAGGAAGTCCTACGACATGAAGCATTTCCGATGTGAGCGAACAGAGAATCCGACTGAAATGAAATCTGACAAACTTGATTAACTAAAATGAAATGAAAGCTAATACACACAATTCTTCAATGTTCAGTTTTTTTGAAGACAGCTTCTCCAAAACAAAAATTTTACGTAATTTGGTTCTATAACTGATAACATCAGTAAAAATATTTACTATTCAACACGACTACGTTAAACCACTTGCTTCTAAAATGCCCTCAGCTGTTCTAGAAAAGAAAGATCCACCAGAGAACCTCTTTCATTTTTTTTCTAATCTTCGAGAAGAAACTGAAAATGTTTTAAAAATATTTTGTTGCCTTTTGCTTATTTACACTCAGGTCTGATGTGCTGAAAATCAGAAAACTGCAATGATAAAAAGTTTCTGAGTAAAGCGTAAAAGAAACCAACAGGGATTGATAGAAGACCTGTGAATGCTTAAATCCATGTTTCTGATTGGCCAAATGCACATGCTAAACTACATATATGCTAGCTGTCAGCTGTTAGATAAATGTAACGTTTATCCTTTAAAAGATTTTCCACTTGCTCCATGGCATGTCGATGAAATTTGCATAAAAGATAACTCCAAGCAGTGAACAAAACCATGTTTAGCATACTATGGCACCCTGATCTGAAGCACGCTCTGTTTTGCACGTTTTAGCTTTTCCCCACCTCAACTCACCTGACTTATACCCCTTTCCCACTGGCAGAAAAAAAAAACAATTTAAACCCAGGAACAATCAACTTTTAGTGGCACTGGAAACAGCTCACTGATACGGGTCTACTCGGGTCAAACGACTCGGCAAGCAGCCCGTGTAAAAACTCAGCTCTGATCTGATCGGTATGCTGTGAGAACACCAGAGCCAGGTTGACCCGCTAAATTACATGAAAACTATTGAACGCAACATACGGACGTCAAAACACCACGGCAGTCGCTTTTGATCTAACAAGCCAAAACAAATCTGTTTACATTCAATAAACATGACGCAGGGCTCGTGAGAAGGATTCACAAAGATAAAAGTGCAAAACAATAAAGCACACGTATTACGCTCTGGCTTCCTTTCAGTGTTTTTCTCCATTGTTTACTACCTGATTTCGGTCACACTGGAGACATCATCAAAGCTAATCGTTTTCGCCAGTGGGAAGGGAGCCAAATGCCGATTGTTAGCGGGTTGACCCATGTTTGAAAAACACACGTTAACCCGGTATTTTCAGTGGGAAAGAGGCTTTAGATAAATAGGTGCAAGCACACTGCAAAAACTGGAATATAAGCATTTATTTAGGTATTTAGTTATTTCTATTGATTTGAGCCAAAATGATTTACTAATCCATTGTTTAATTTCAATTGCATAATTTCTCATTATCTTATTTCAAAGAAAAGCATACTTATTATATTGAGATATTATCTTATTGACCTGCACAAATTAAGGGCAATACACTCATTTTAAGACATTTTTATATCTGTTTTTGCGGTTTACTTTGACTTTCCTAATAAACCAACAGTTTCTGAAGACAGTCAGTGTTATGGTGGGATGATATTAACCACAAACAGATTTTAATAGGGCTGGGAAGAACGGTATCCAACTAATTAACAGCAACAAGCAGATAAATAAACAATTTATTACAGAAACAAAAGTTTAAAAGACCTTTCAGCAAACTGTTGTTCAGCTCTGGTTCTTCCTAATCACATATCTTCAAAAAGTCCAAGTTCATGACAGGTTTGTAGGCGAATGTAATTTTCTGTATTAACTGAGATACAAATTTGGGAAACAGGAAGTCAGACTGACTTAGTATGACTCCATAAATACACCAGAAGAAAGCAGAGAGCCATTTGGAGATGAAGAACCCTGGATTACAGGAGACCAACCTGTTTCTGCAACCCTTGATCATTGCTAGGAAGCAACGCAAACATATG